GAATTAATATATGCTATTCTTTATTAGTCGCACAACATTCTCCTCACAGCACGAACATCACATCACATTCATGCAACACAGTATGAAGACAAGCGGAAAATTAATTCCACGAACAAAGAAGAACCCGTTAAAAATGTATTTTTTCGCGTAGTAATATTTTGAAATGATGATAAAATTTTACTTCGAAGGTTCAGGAAAGCTGGACATTACCGGTTGAACTCCAAGCCCGTTTTGCTCGTTATGGTTTGACATACGAAGGAGTCGAATCTCTCCCAAACAATGGCTAATAAGAGCAGACGAGGTTCTGGCATGAATTGCACGGAATCGAATTTGGCCACGCGTGAGTCGTGGCTTCGGCCGCCTAATGACCTCTGTGGGCCCCCGGTCACAGCGGCCATTACGCGGAGTCTCCTCTCCGCTTGCTACTGCAGCAAGCGCTCTCGTCTTCGCAGCGGAAAATTAGTGGACTTCCGCTCCCCGGCGCTCTGGCCAGTAGAATGCCCCGTCAGGTTTCGAGCTCTTCTCATCAGCCCATTGTCCGGTCTACTAATGCTGATGGAACATAGCAGGTGCACAAGAATAACGTCACGTTTCTAAAATTGTCTTTTAGAAGATTACTGTGTGAATTACAGCGGTGTCATTTATTTTTCTACAACAAAACAAAGTATTTTGCTCTACGCGAATTTTAATCTGTATGAACTTTTAGATGTTTCACTTTTCTAGTGTAATAAAATATACCTCTTGTGGCAGTTAAGGTGCAATACGAACTCACTATTATCAATAATGTTCTCGTTTTGTTACATTTTCATTTTAAAAATATATTTTCTGCTCCTTTTGTACTTGAATAATAAAATCTACAAATATAATGGAAAATTATCATTAGAATTTTAAAATGCACAGTAAAAAAGTAAAGTATTACCCAAATACAATCCTCCAGAAACTTAAATACATTTTAATCAATGACGCTCATAAAAGAGATCTTTATTGTTTGGAGATTGGCCCATACGCGGAGACTAACTCAGGGAATGAGTATCAGAATCATTATCAGAATATCTAAATTATGATGAGATATACTTAACTCTGAGATTCGTAAATAATTGTAAAAGTGTGTTCTAAAAGTCCAAAACTAAAAGTATGAATACTGAAAAGAATGATCAATTTTTTAATTTTTAATTGCATTTCTCTTTACAAAGGTCACAACTTTTTTCCGTTTATAGTTCAGATGATTAACGTAAATTAAGAAACTTAAGTTATATTCAATGTCTCGAAAATAGAGATGATAAAAGTAATTGGACGTCCCTAGAAGCATATTTTTTTCCAGCACATCTGTGAAAATAATACTTATATCTTTAACCGTTCAAAAATAGTAACGGGTGCTGAAGTTATGTAACTCGCCCTGTGTCTTATATTTTCAATAATTTATGTTCTTGTTTTCCACTAACAAAGCTTTGTCTCACTTCAAGATCACTATTTCGCACAAAAATAAAACTGTCCTTTGGAATATAATTTAATTCGCATAAAAACTGTATAATATCTGAAACTTATCAAGTACTTTTCAAAAACATGAAAAGATGGGATAGATCTTGTTCTTATCAGTTTCTTTTTTTCTAAAACAAAGTCATGCATGTGGTATTATAAAGAAAAATTGGTACAATTTGCTTATAGTTTTACTGGAAATGTTCCATATCTGCAAAATGTCACATAATGTGTTTTCTAGATCCAACGACGCAAATTGTTCACTTGCGTTAAGTTACTAAAGCAGAAACTTCACTTCCGCAACAAACAACGCCACCGCCTGTCTCCAGCGCTCCCTGGGCAAAGTCTCTCGGGCCTTAATATTCTTCACTCGGTTGAACAAATTAGTTACTCCATTCCAATTAGCTAATACCAGTCCGCACAATTAGCCAGTTCCCTCGAAACTCCTCCCTGGCCACAAACCAACTTTTCGGCCTACGAGTCTGCGGTACTTCGGCTGCAAACTTCTTACACCTTGGCATTCAAAGGCGCCTGGTCCCAAACTCCCTGCAGGGCACGTCCCCTGAAGAGTGGTCGAGGTCACGGCGACCCAACCGAGACAGTTTGAGTACATGGGCATTGTCTTGTTCCCGCGAGATCCTGAGCCACCTGATGAACGTCCATGAACAGAATAACACGTTTCGACACATGTTCATTACGACGAAGAAGCTTCTTGATGCATTCCAAATTCAAAGAAGCTTACAACTTGGCGGTAATGTCCCTTTTTATAACTTCTTTCAGGACCACGGTCAACTCGAACGCTCGTTGACACTTTTACTACCAGGAAACATTCAATACTAGATAGACCCATTTTATCATTCCCCAGGTTTTAAATTATTGTTTTAAAAGTGAAAATACCTTCATTTTGAAACCCGACATCAGCGACGATCAACTTAGTAACTTTCTGACAAAATCGAGATGGTGTTAAATTAAAGGCAAAAATGTGGTGGCAGTGAAAGTCTAGGTGTTTAGGGAGTAAGGGTTTCGCGGAGGAGAAATGGCTCGCCATCATAAATTCTATAATTAGTCGCGATGAAACAAACTCAATAGGCGCAGTAACTCTCTTTTTAAACGTCATGAACATCCAGGATTTGTTCTTAATTCATGGTTACAAACCATTGGCAGTAGCTACCACTGCAACCAGCTGATCTTGCGTCGCACTATGCTGCATTTTCTCCAATCTCATAAGGCCTCTTCACAATGCACGCAGCACGCCCTTAAACCTCTATTAGACAGAACGACAGGATACATGATAGGGGCACTAGTGCGGCTACTGCAGCTTCTAAAGTGCAAGTATTTAGTAAATTTTTCATTCACGTGCATTTAAACACACGCTCCGTACATGTATCCATACAAACACACTTTGAGCCTTGTAAATCTCAGAAACACACACTTTCGGAATACTCATTCTTCATTTCTACACGAAGAATATGATAGGGGATAATAGCCAAACTCTGAAGGTATTTTTCCTTTGCAAATAGTTATTATTACACGGAGGGAATGTTTTCTTACAAATTCTTTCCAAAAACGCTTACTACAACCTGTGTTCAAAATTCAACTTAAATTGAATATAAGTTAGGTAAGAGATCAATAATATTTTTACAGTTTTTACATCTCCTCACAGTTTTTCACTGTTTTTATTTCAAAAAATTAGTCTTTATTCGCGATCAGAAACTACTGGTCATCGCCACTACCCCAACCAACTCTCTCACACCCTGCGTAGCCGAAGCTGTCGTTTGGCTAGTCTACATTTTCCCTGCGGCGCCGACTGCGTAGCACCACTCGCCAAACAGCAGCTCGAAACGCCAGGACGGCGGTGACCCATCTGATCGCCACGCCGTAGAAGGAACTATGCACAAAACTGCAGAGTACAAGGATCAAGGCGTTAGTGCCCAGTGCGGCTTATAAACTGCAAGTGGTTCCATTTCAACATATATTCCACACATATAGAGAGAGATTACTTTAAAAATAGACCGCTTTGACAGCTACTGCTTGGCAACTACTGGCAGCATAACTACAGATTATGTCCATGTTTCCAAATAGTTTAAGCGTTCATTTAAAGTTGGCTCACTTGTAAATGCCATCGACACAGGTTCTTGAAATTCTATTGTCCAGCATGACTTTCTTTTGTTGTCCGATCCGTCAAACTGGTCCCTTCTTACACCCAATACTCACCATGCTGGATACTCGGATTCTCATGAAATTTCGCTAGCTGGTAGAACACTATGCAAAACCAACATATCCTAATTTTGACATGGTATGGAGTATTAGAAACAGTGTTTAGAAGCGTTTTGCAACTAGCCCCTTCGTGACCCGCGTACCTCCCGCAGCACGAGGATCGTTTGGGCCGTGTATCAACCAGTGTCGGATTTCTAGCGCGCTCGTTTGTTAACGACTGATGACAAAGGTCATATCCTTTGGTCTCTTTTTAGTCTGAAGTTCAGAGTGACTCGCGTTCTTAATAATTCTACCGAAGCCAGTTGTAAGGATACCTTAAACCTAAGCTACTTTTAAGGAAACTGACAAAGAAACTTACATGCGGTGCCCTATGGCATATATGTTACACTAAGTTTTGACATTTTAATCAGATTCTTATTTATTGTGAACATTTTGTTTCTAACTGAAAAGCAAAATGTATGTATTTGTTTATTTATAGTATATCGTGGAAACATTTTCTGGGGCCCATATCTTCGCAATAATTGTAGATGGATGTGTCCAATCTTCTTGTCTGACTAAACCTGACACTTAAACGCAGTTTTTGTCACCCTATATGCTACATGCCCTCCGAGGCAATTGACACCCTGCCGACAGATAGACTGATGACGGCGGCGCGGCTGACGAGTGACGGCCGCTGGACTGAAGGCGGCGACGATTTCTATGCTTCGACAGGCAGTAAGGTCATCAAACGTCTTGATACTGTCACAAAAACAGTACTTCCAACGCCGTAAAAAATGTAGGAGTTTTGAGAGGTACTGAACAAGCTGGCAACAAAATTTCATGTCAATCCGAGAGTATCCTGCACGGTGAATGTTGCGTGTTAAGGTGGCTCCACACATTCGGCATTCGCCCGCCCAATCCCGAACCTCTGATGTGTTCGCTCTCTTTGATGTATCCTAAAGACCGACACGCGGTGAGTAGTGCGAATACCGAATGTTTGGCGCTGGGCGAATCGCAAGCACCCGTCCACATTACTCGGGATTCGCCCAACGCCGCATGTGTGGAGCCGCCTTTCGAATTAATTTCTCTCTACACACTTTCCTGGTCACTGAATAAGAATTCTTTAGACGTTCTAAACACCACAAACCCACTCTCTCGGGATTCCTTGTTTATTCGCAGTCAAAGCCTTCCGCCTCTGACCGCGCGCAGCCATTTGCCAGTGCTCCGCCGCGAGCGCCAGCGCGGCGGCGGCCCAGCCGAGCGCCAGCGCGTAGAAGGGCGTCTGCAGGTGCGGCAGGCGCAGCGCGCGCGGGGCGGCGGCGGGCGACTGCGCGGGCGGCGGCAGCGTGTCCCCGCGCAGGCGGCTGGCGCGCAGCTCGTCGCGCTTCCACTTGTCGATGAGGCCTCCGGCGCGGAAGGCCGCCAGCGCCGCGTCCAGCGCGCGCAGATGCGGCCACGCGCGCCCCACCTGCGCCCAGCCGCGCGCCACGCCCACCTGCCAATGCAGCCGGCACACATCGACGCCCCGGCGAGGAGTTGGGAGCTGTCCACGGAGACGAGGGTGCCGGGAGGGTAGGGGGATGGGCTCGAGAGAGGGTGCCAAGAAGAGAAAACTCTCGTTCGCAATCTATACATCGATCACATTCTAGGGATGAGGGCGAAGGAAAACGAGAAGAAAAATCAGGAACTTTTTTTGGTCTTGAACTAATTCTTTGTTATTGATGTATTGGTAACATCTAGATTATTAGAGACCACTATTGGATTTAACATTGTGGTTACTGTGGATATGGCATGAAGATATGGTGGTGATGAGGGTGAAAAAAGCGAACCCAAATACAACCATGCCCGAGGCGGAACTCGAACCCGCGATTCTTTGGTCCGAGATCGCTGTGGCACGACTCCCTTAACGATCTCGGCCATCCGGATCGGCCAAGAACATTTTTGTTTGCACGTGTTTTAACATTTCTCTCAAATGTATACTACACTAAAAATAGTGCTTATGCGAGAAAACGTAATGTCATTCTTTGATGGTAATAATGTTAACAAATCACAATAATAATAGTAGGAGTTTGATGAGATATATTTACGGGCAGATGACGTGAGATTATTTTCAACCAAACATTTCTGGGTATGCATCTAAATATATAAAAAGTAAAATAATTCAATTTTTTGCGATTTCATCATATTAAAAAATCATTTGCTAAGATTCTAAAATAAAAACAAATGATTTTCCCGACATTTCTTAAAATAACTGCCATTGAGAAATGACCAAAACATTATACGAGAATTCAACTTCAAAGAAAAATTGTAGAGATCAAAGTTAGAGTGCATGTAATTGAACATGAGAATATTTAATATAAAGGATACTGGAATGGAGTGTATCCCACTTTATGCCATGGTATACGTACACTAAATATTAAAGAAATCAACTTATTTTATCAACGCCTGTTATTCTATCCGAAAAATATATGCAACTGTATCCTCCAAAATAGGTAGCTTCCCATCGTATATTTATTCAATAGGCACAGAAATTTTACTAGTCACTGTAGTATATAAAATACGAAAATTTCTAATTATATTCCAAGTGCTTTTAACTTTTTCCGAAATGATCGATATGGGAGTGTTTATTTACAAGCCAGGCACACAATTTCATAACATAACAATCCGTAATATATCAGACCAATTCCATCTAATGGCCTAAATTATTAGGAAAATTATTTCAAGCAACACATTTAAGACTTACCTCATAAACCATGAAAACCCTCGCCACAGGCTGTCGCATCACGTGGGCCAATGGCTGCTCGTCGGCGTCGTGGTTCTTGGCTCTGCTCACGTCGTATTTCGCCGAGTAAGAGTTCGATATGCAAGCGACGTCATAGCGGATAGCTATTTCGGCGAGGCCGTCCAATGTCAGATTAAGCCTGATTTGGTCCTTCAAAATCGGATACGAACTCACAACGGACGGGGCTATCGCTGGATGGCTCCAAATAATTTTGCCAGAGGCCTTTAGGGCTGCCACTGTGTCTATGTCTGGCAAATACTTAGGCACTGCCAGGTAGCTGGTGAGCGAACCCTGAAACACGCGCGAGGAATGAGAACTGACGATCTGAATTTTTTCGCATTTTTCATTGAACAAGGGAATTGGCAAGATTCACAATTCTTCCGTCAGTTAAGCTTACATTTCTAATGCTAATAAAAGTACACAACTATGTTCTATACAAAATGTTAGCGTATGGGGCAATCAAGTATCAAGTACGTTTTGCCATGTAAACAAGTTTGAAAATTTGTGAATTACTCATAGTTTAAAAGCATCATTTCAACTGAGGTGCATTGAAATATTTTTCTTTGCACTGTTCTGCACTTTTTTTTGTACTGTAAAAAGCCAATATAAAACTTTACTTCTTTCAGATCAACATATAATTCCTTTTTTACACGAAATGTAAAATTTTAAGTCCCAAAAATAATTTATGCCACGTCCATCAGTCAGTCCATCTCATCAGTCAAACGATGTTGTCTTAGTGTATTGTACCGTTTCTAACCTAATACTGCACATGTTCATCAAACAAGTTCAGTAAAACGATGTTACCGGACGATTAAACGATTCTCAGTAAATCTCAACAGTACCAACGATTAATACTGTTGAAATGGATGCTTTAAGAGGAGAGTGCAGAACAAACAATTTATTTAATTGCCTGATTGTGATGTTCGGGGAAATGTATAACGACCACAAGCAAACCATTTTGTGCAGAATCAAGCAAAGAACCGTCACAGCATTTGCGCTACGTCTACAAAACAGAAAAAACTACTATCCTTCAAAGAATTGGTCATTTATGTCTAAATTGATAATTGATTAATACTTATTTGTAAAAAACCCTTAAGATATAAATTAGAAAATGACAAAACACCTGAAGTGTCTTTTACAGGAGAGGCAAGTTTAAAGAATTCTATAAATAAGATTATCAACCCAAAAGGCGTATTTATTACATTAAAAGATACTGCAAACAGTGTATTGTTACATCGCTAGTGATTACATCACTATCGATGTAGTACACGTCATTACATTGTTAGTACCTTGCCAACCTCTAGGGAAAACCAGAAAGGGAGATATTTCAATATTTCCTATTCAGAAGCTGACCATCGTTAAATCGTAAAGGATCCACTTGCAAAATAATGAATTCGAAACTATTGTTTAACCTAGAACAAAATAAAAAATCGATAAAGATGAACTTCAAACTTCCCTCTCACCCTAATCGTACATTCCCTGGAATCCAGGACAATCGAATGACACAGCGGCGACCTTCCTCTACCACACCACCAACCGAGCGAGGCAATCGCGTTCAAAGCGAATGTTCGGCGGCGCGCTTTCCGAGAAAGGGGGCGAACTGCGCGAAACGTTTTATCAGCTGAAGTGTCTCGTCGGGGGCACCTGAAAGGCGTTGGTCACGACGAGGCCGAAGAGCAGCCACGCGATGGCGAGCAGGCGGTCCGCCGCGCTCGACGGGTCGCAGCCGCCCTGCGCCAGCAGCAGCGCCACCGCGTCCAGCGACCGCGCGCGGGCGCCCGTCGCCGCCGCCGCCGCCGGCACCGCCTGCACAGCGCGCCGAGCACAGCGGTTGGTTTGTCTGTCTCAAATGTGAAATAATATGTAAACCTACAAATGTGAATAATAATAATAATAATAATAATAACAGCGTTTTGACTGAGAGTTCTATTCTCCGATTTAATTATAGTGACTTATAACATCGAGTTGAAAGGCCAAGGTGGCTAGAGCCGACTATGCGCCTCGGTCCGAGGGGTCGCGGGTTCGAGTCCCGCCGTGGGCGTAGTTGTTTGCCCCTTGTCTTTCATATATAAGTGTGTTGTCGCGGAAGAAGGACTTGTGGGTCTGCAGACCACAGACCGAGGAGCCCGCATGTGTGTCTAATGTAAAAGTTCATAAATATCACAATGAATATTGGGGTATCTGCCGCGGCTAGCCAAAATGGGCACCCCCAGAAGCTGGAAAAAGCCCTGGAAAATAAAATTATAGTAACTTATTGCGTTTGAACAGCTAAGACAATTCTAACGGGAGACTCAATTCCAAAAATAAGTCGTAACGAAGCTTCCGATTGGATAATCGCGTCCAAATGATCAAACGTCGAAAGGCTCTATAATTAAATCGGAGTATACGGTTTGAGTTCCGAAGGTGGCTGATTTTCGGCACGAATTAGATAGCTAGTCGAATTCTGCCGATTTTGGAGGGGAACTCTAGCGGTGGGTTGCTTGGATCCATAGTTTTCCGTGGCTTCTCCAATCAACACCAAGCATATGCAGGAGAAGCACCCTAATATGCGAGCCACGCTTGTTCCTCGCGCGCCTTGTTCCTTCCTCGACCTTCTTCCCTCGCAAAGTTTCAAAATAGTCAGTCACCTATCAAGCACGTCTGTGAAATCAAAACAAATGTATGTTCGGGGCACATAGTCCCAAACAGTATAGCAGTGGAAATGACCATAGTCGTCCGGAAACTCCAATTAATCAATACACGTAAATAATCAACCTAATATACCTAAACCATTGCAGAACTGAAAGGATTTATTGCTTTTCTTTCTAAAATTCCGTTATACCTCAATTTTAACCATTTCTCCGGCAATGGCATTGATCATTATGATAAAAAAATCTTACTTCGGCAGCTCAGCAGACCAGGCAATTGTGCCCTTGACTACATCACTAGCTTCATCGAAACGTTGCAGAATGGGTGACGGCTTGAGATTTTGCTGACATTTACACCGGGGTGTTGTCGTAAAGGATCAGCACGTTTGATGTCAAACTCACATATCGATTCTCTAGCTATAGTCTGAATGTCAATATTATAAGAGCAGAAACTACATACGCGCGTGAGTATATACGCGCCATGTTCAGACGTATAAACACTTAAGAACTTGTTCCGACCTCTATTGTTGTACGTAATACCACGTTAGGTAAATATTATTAAACGCTACGTAAGAAAAATGGAAAGAAAGATTGTACAAAATCTCAAAATTGCAACCAATCTTTAACTTCAGAACCTTATTAAAAAGAAAATGTGGATTTGTGACATTCAAGACAACCATTTGGACATTGACTCGATATTGAGAAGCAAACATGAAATTTTAACACATTTATAAGGCGAAATAATTTTGTTTTATATTGGCAAAATAAATAAAATAAACCCAATGGCATTCTAGAATGTGTTAAATACCAAAGGTACTACTTACTATTTGTTAGTAAATATTAATTTTATTAATCTCTATTCCTTTTTCAATTTACTGAATTTCAAGGTGTAACAAAATCCAATATAAAACGTGTGAAATATGTTTTTCAATCAGAAAAGAGAGAAAATGTACAATACAGTATTGGTCAGCAATGCCTAATTACAAAGTTATTAAACTTACTACTTTGAACACTGTGTTCAAGTATCACAAGAAATGTTCAAAATTATCTCTACTTCCCCGGTTCAAGTCGTTGCAAATGTCTGCATTGAATGCCGATCTCTAATGCCTGGTATAGTATATACTTTCTGAGAGATTACCTCTACGCATGTACGATGAAGTTGATAACGCAGAACAGTCAAGAACAATACACACCAGCAACTTGTGGACAGAGCACGCGGTGGTAGTAGAAAACTGGGTTATACGACGATGAATACCTTCAAATATTTGGTCTAACAGTCTCTTGCCGACTCCGATACAATCGACGTGCTCTCAAAATATCAAACAATATATGAATGCAAGCAAGTCCTTCTGTTGTGACCAATACGCTAAAAACAACACAAAACAAACTACAAACAAATCAGTTTCTTTAAAATCACAATAAAACCAACTTATTAAAAAACCTATCGTATAGAAGTACGTGTTGATATAGTGGAAAATTAACGTGGGTGCTAAGAAATATTTAGGGAGGCATCAATGTTGTGCCCTTCATTGTACCCTTCAAATTCACCAACGACAGGACTCGAACCCTAGGATATCCTGAACAGATTCGCTTCAGAGTCAGCAGCAGTGATGGCTCTGAGTTTAACTCAGTTGTTGAAGCCATATATGCGGCTGTTGAATCCCTTTACCAATACGTCAATAAGTGGATAAATGAATAGGTGACTATGCGAATAGGCGAATATGTGAAAACGTAAATAAATGAAAATGTGAATAAGTGAATATGTCAGTTCGTGAATACGTGAGTACGTGTATATATGAATAAGTGGATATGTGAATACGTGGATACGTGAATAAGTGGATACGTGAATAAGTGGATACGCGAATAAGTGGATACGCGAATAAGTGGATACGTGAGTAAGTGGATACGTGAATAAGTGAAAATACCGGCGGGGCTGGTTGGTTGAGGCGCGCACGGCGCAGGGCCGCAACGGCGAGGGCGAGCGCGTCGGCGCCGCGCCATGCCGCGGGGAAGAGCACGGCGGCGGCGGCCAGCGCCAGCCACACGTCGCCGGAGAAGGGCAGGAAGAGCTTGCGGAAGTGCGGCATGGGCGGCGCCTTGCGCACGATCACCACCAGCTCGTCGTTCTCGTGCGGGTACGTCACCTCCACCAGGTGCAGGCGGTCGGCCTTGATGACGCGCGAGTTGGCCGCGAGGTCGGCGCGCCCCAGCGCCACGTCGCCGGTCGTGCCCGACATGGTGCCGTTGGGCAGCGGGTAGCCGAAGCCCAGGCCGTCGCTGGGAGTTAGTTCCAGTCGCCCGCGCAGTGTCGAGGCCAGCGCCACTGTCGCCTGCCAGTCGGGGCCCGAGAACAGAGCCTCGCCTGCGCCTGCGGGATTAGGGGCCTGAACAGGGGGATTCTTACCCGCGAGTCTGACCGGGACGTTCCTGACTACGAGCTAGAGCGCGGTCAGGACCGTGGTGCGCAAGAGTACGTTTCTTGTTTCTGCCACGCTTCTGTGCGCTCCCGTGTACAGATCTCAGCGCGCTCTTGCGCGGCGCGCGAAATTTCCGAGATTCGACGGTCGTGACGTGCGTTCCACGCTCCTCGCTGCTGCTACCATATGTTGGTGCAGTTGCATATGTTCCGATCGTGTTCCGTGTTATCCTGGGTTGTTTATATAATGTATAGTGAATCATATTACTATATTTTTCGATTAGCTTAATCAGAAATGTTGTCCGTTCATGATTATCATAAAAGGAAAAATATAGCCGTAATTGGAATTAGTGGCACAACATTATATACCAGGAGGAAATGGAGAAGAAAAAACGCACTGTTTGGGTAAAAAGTTACACAAATATGATCACATGCCGATTTTGAAGGAATTAAAGGAGAACTATCCTGACGACTTCCCTTCCCATTTTAAATGTTTTTTACAACACGCAGAACGTTTGTGCATCTGGGGCACTTCCAATATAGGGAAAGAAACTCTGTCATCATACCCCGGCTCCAGCAACGAGTATCCGCCAGTTCAATATGCCGCCGTCTGGTCACTATGTTCATTCGCAACGAAGCTCCACGTGTAAATGCGTGCTACGCTTTTGCCCACAGCGTTCCGCACCGCGCTCTTGCGCGCAAACCGTACTTTCCTTTAGACCTGCGTACTGAAACGGGTATCTGAGTGTCTCGCTGCCCGGCACGCGTTCATGAACAATGGTGTAAGGCCGCCTATTCGTTCAATGTGTCAACTGCTATGGTCATTCGTAGTGAATGTTATATCATGGTAAGTGACAGTTCCTCCCTGCTGGATTCGATGACCTGCATATCGGCTTACGGGGATTTCTCCATCCAGGGAGTTTCCCTCCCCAGCCAGTCAAGCCGCAGTCGCTACAAGCTGTAAGTTCCCGATCGGTCGTTGAATTGAATTGAATTAATGCCTTATATTACGTGGCGAGACTTGGGCCATCAGGCCCGCTCTTCCGCCTGACCACGCAAATTTATCTATGCTCCTTTCACCAACTAGCGGAGAAAGAAGGTATTTCTTGGGCGAGAAATAGGCGATTTGAATTTAGCTCAGAGGCAAGCTGAGGATCTTTTACATGCAAGTAAATGTACAAACATGGGACAGCCGGCTTTACTTCCCCACCGAAGGAAGGCGTACGAAGGATTTTGCGCCCTTAAAAATCCACGGCTTCGATCGAGTTTGAACCCGGCAACTTGGGTATAACAGTCCGATACGCTAACCATTACACCATCGACGCCGCAAGTAGTGTAGAGCGTGTAAATCCCTGTCTGTGTGTGCGCATAAGTGTGTAAAGGGAGATGATAGAACTAGGATGAGGAAGGAACCACCGCGTGTGATCCACGACCGTTTGTCAGGGAACTTCTCCCGCATTTACCTGGCATTGTTTGGAGAGAACACGTAAAACTACTGATCTGAGCAGCGACCGAAAGAATTATCTAACAGATAGTGGCCGAATTTGACTTAATTATCGGGTTATTGCTAAAAATATCCCGTTTCGTCTGGAACCAAAGTATTTCCCGGTCCGAGTCGCTGCTTCCCTGATGGATATTTATTTGAAGGCTACAATCCTTTCGGGAAAGTTTCGAAAGTGAAAGGAAATTATCTCGTGCATTTCAGCTCTTTCTAATTATTTTAGACAATCAATAGTACACAGACAATTTTATTCAATCTAATATTTTATTCGTAATGCAAGATATTAACATACCTT